AAAAGAAATCAGCAATCAGAGCCAATGGACATTTATAGTCAGTGTTCAGTTTTTTGGAGTAGCTTCATTATCATCTTTTTGCCTCCTCATCAGCTTCACAATTAAGTAGCAAAAAGCTCCAATAGCTGATACAGCACCAACACCAGCAAATACCTATCATTGTATAATGCTTTTAATATGTAGAAATGTTAATATAATGACTTACAGCAGCTGTAATGAAATCTGCACCATTTGGTGCAAAAGGTCCAACATCAGAGATATATTGTGGTCCAGTGCAGTCAATGTTAAAGGCTGAATTTGAAGTACCACCTGAGCTTGTTATGTTCCTGTATGTAGCACAGGTCTTTCCCCAACCAGCTGAAACCACAATCATGGTAATGAATAGGAACAAAATAGAACCAACAAAGAATCCAGCTTGAATAATGTTAGCAATCAACCTAAAGTTGAATCAATCAATAATCTTCATACCACTGAAGCACTTACCTTTTGACATATATTTGAAATGAAACACTGATTAGCTCAATGGCAGTTAGCAGAGCCAGACATATTGTAGCAATGGTAGCACTTGCTATACTTAGCTGACAAGTGGGTACATTATAATTTACCAGACTTGAGTTCATAGCTTGAGCATAAGAAACGAAGAAAAAGCATCTTACCCCATTATCAGTGTTAGCCTGAAGGAGACCAAGAGAAATACCAGCAGCTCCCAATGACAATAGAAGTACTGCAAGAGGAACTACTGAGAGGATCTGCTTGATTATTTCAGGCATCTTCATTGAAGTTAGTACGGTTGTTGAAGTTTTTTTTTATATACACAAAGATCATCACGGAGCCCTACCCTTTGTTTACTATATGAATACAGTTTCAGTGTTTATGCTTGTAGTCATTAGGGGACTGTCATTGCTACTATAATTCTATATTAGTTGTAATGTTGTGCTAATTATAGTGGAAGCGTTATGGACTTGCACTGTAATTGTATGTCTTAATAGCAAGCCAAACAACATTATTGTAAAATTGTTTATCCTCTTGTACAATATATTTATGAGTTTATGCTGCAACATTCATAGCTTACAGACTTATAAAAAACAGTCTTGCAATAGCTTTCCCTGCTAGTTGCATCAACATTATATATAAGCTTTTAATTATTCTATAGAAGTTTAGGCATGCAGCCCTATCACTCAGCCATTAGCCTATAATGGTGGGATTCTCATAAAGATAGTGAAACTGCCATAATTGCATTCTAGCCTTACTGCATCAATTAGAGGAGACCAGATTTATGGCTCCCGATTGGTAGTGTCTGAGCTTGTTAAAAAGCAAGCAAACATGACCATAAATAAATTGTAATACTGCATGGGTAGCTAGTGTATTGCAATGGCATTCATGATGTATATAATGTGGCAAAAAGTCAAACTTCTCCATTGTATTATTTGTGAGGGGAACTACCTTGTCTGAACGACTATTTTGACCCATGCACTGTACTTTGTACTGGAAAGTACCTTTTTGTTGCTGTCATTGCATGTTATTGTAGCTTAACCAGATAATTCCTCAACCTACTGTCATTTTTGTGCCAGCCATCCACTCAAATACATGTAACTGTCACTGGGGCTACTGAGACTAATTGTAGTATAGCATTGCAATAATTGCCTGCTAGGTAAGTAGAACTCAATGTAGTTTTATAACTAAAAGCTAACTAAAGGTAAAACCCTTAAAAATAATTATGATATTTCATGGTTTTCTAAAAAAATGGCCCCAAAATCGCACCCGATTTTTGATGCATATTATTAATTAAGCTATGTAGGAATTCGGAGTCTATTTTGATTTTAAGCTATGGTCATCATAAAAATAGGGTAATACCTGAAAATGTACCCTGAATTACAGCCCTGGCTTCTTTTTGAAAAATGGTTCTAAAATCACCCCTAATTTTTATTACATTAATGTTCTTATGCTATGTAGAAAGTTTGAGCCGATTCCAGCTTTAATTTTTGAGTTATCGCCATTTTAAAAAATATGCAAAATATGAAAAATACCCTGTGCT